AGGCTTATTTTGAACTTTTCGATTTTTCGGAGAAGAAAAAGCGCGATAGGACTTTTTGATATAATTTTCAAAAAAGGTTCATTAAAAGGGTCCTTTAGAAAAAATAAAACGAATTACGAAATTTTGCAACTGTCGGCGGATTCTCGATATTTGCGGTCAGTGGCTCTTAAGTAAGTTATTACTTGGTTACGACCCGGTTACTATCTGGTAACACTTGATTAAGGTAACGATCTGGATTAACACGGTTGATCTGCAAGTTTTTTCCCAGAAATGCCAAGGCTGTGAAAAATATCGATCTCCCCACAACAAGATAATTTATCCAGCTTTCAAGTTATGGAGAATTATTATGATTATTCTCAGATTATCAAATTATCACTCGAGCTCTTACCTGGTAACCGAATGCTGAGGCAATAGATCTTTTCGTAGAGTCGCTTGGTGCGTCTTCCCGAAAATTCTCTTCAGTCGGAGTCAGTTCCCTTTGGTAGGGAGCAAGACAGTCGCCAGCAACTGCCATAATGATTCGTCTCCTTTTTCCTTTTTTGTGTGCGTCCAACAACTCAAGCAATCATAAGAAAGTATTCAAAACATCGCCGTGTTTATTTCATTTACTATTACTGCTGCTCAAAATAAGAGGAAGCAGATGGCTTAACACCCGCTGTGTAAGTAATTGATATCTCTGTTGGATGTCAAATGAAGAACACTCATTTGCATTGAGGGGAATTGAGATATTTTCTTCAGAGTCTAGTTTTCTGGTATGTCGTATCGATTTTTTTCTTCATTGTTTCTTAGCTTTTATTGCAATATTACATGAAAGAAAATTTCAGGCTATTATTTCAAATGAAAAATTTCTTCACTGTGAAGAAATTTTTTATTTGAAATATTGTACAAATTTTTTATATTCGAGCGACGCTAGGACACTGTTGAGTCAGATTTTCACATTTCTGAATCAGTGAAAACTATTGGAAACAACCTTTGTCACCTAATTTAAATATGAGATGTCCCGCGGATACCCTTATCAAGGACTGTTTTGGAGTTTGTAAAACAAACGTGAAAGGTTTTATTGTTTTCGTACTTGTTTTTGTTTCGTAAACCAAACTGTGTATGTATTTTTTCAACTGGAGTCTTAGCAACGCAGATTTCAGTACAAGCGTCCCAGGTGTCGTCAATCGTTAAAATCAGAATCACAACCGCTGCATCTGCACTTTCTTTTGAACCGTTACACAAAACTTCTATTTTAATACAGTGTATACTTTTTTTCTGCCTATTCCTTCCTTATGGAAAAAAAACCCATCCAAACGTGGCAATACGTATATGAAATAGCGAGGCGAAGTGAGGTTTTAAACAAGTCCATGTTGAAATATGTGAATCAAGTAATTAATCTTCTTGAGGCAATTGAGGGGGAATACGAAGAAATGGTAAGAACTTCTGGACAACAAAACTCTCAGCTTCGTTTGACCCTAAAAAAACATTATAGAGCCATTTTCTGAAGCATAAAACTGCACTTGATGGTCCACCGTGATACTACTACGACAACAGTGGATGCAGCTGGGGAGCTCCACGAGATGGCCAGGTGGAGGACATTAGTCGATTATTCTCCCGACAAAATGGCAGAAGACCCAGACGTAAGAAGAGTCATTGACCCTGGAAGTAAAATTTTGGATATCGTAAGTGGACATCTCAGAAAGCTGTTCAATGTTTATACTGAGCACTCATAATTTCCCAGGGGTGGGTTTTACATTGAACCCCGGTAACTCGAATTGCCGAGTGGAATTGCATTTACTACCAGTTATCTTGGTAGTGGTGCGATGGCCTCAGGTTAGTACGCTCGACTCCGGATCGAGTGGTCCGGGTTCGAGCCCTGGCCGGAGACATTATGTTGTGTTCTTGGGCAAGACACTGTACACTCACAGTGCCTCTCTTTAGCCGGGGAGGTTAGAATTACTCCTTTTCGCTTCATGCAACGGAAACCGCAGTTAAGCGCCGGCCCGATGAGTCACATTGCTCGTAAGTAGGCTTTACATATATATATATATATATATAGATATATAATGTAAAGAAACTGTAAACTTCTGTGTCAAAGTAAGATACTAAAATAAATGAAAAACTAAAGTCCTCTTTTACTTTGCTTTTGCACTACGCGTTTCACCGCTGTTGCGGCTCTTCAGGCATAGACATAGCATAGTCATAGCAAAGACACTTTGCTATGCCTGAAGAGCCGCAAAAGCGGTGAAACGTGTAGCGCAAAAGCAAAGTAAAAGAGGACTTTCGTTTTTCATTTGTTTTAGTATATATATACACGCACAACTGGGTATTATTGAACACACACTCTGAAATAAATCTTGCCATCTGGTTCCACTATCACCAGGTTTTGACTGAATTGGTGGAGTACGTTACATCAATCCAGCAAAGCGAACTCTGCGTTGTTAGCGGGGGGTTTAGCTAGCGAAGGGTTGGGAGATGACAAGACATCCATCATGAACAGTCGAAAAAAACATTTCAATCTAACGCCATTTTTGAAAGAATTAAAAGCCTGACGTTAATTATCAGTTTTGGAACCAGTGCAGCTCTCATTATGGCTACAGAGGCGGCGTGGCTGAGTGGTCAGGGTGCTGGATTTGTAATCTGGTGTCCCGGGTTTAAGTCCTCCACTTTGCCGCTCACTGGATCTGTTCTCGGTTGCTCCTAGTTCAAATCCTCGGCTGCGCTCTGTAAATAGCCCACTGGTCTGCCTCCTGCCAGTGGGGACTTTTAAGCACTTAGTTAGTCTACATTTTGGCTGAAAATCCCCTATATGGGAGCTTCAATTCATATATTCAATTTAATTTGATTTAATTAAATATGCCGGTTTATTTCCATAAAGTACTCAAGCTGAAGTTCAGCTCTATTTGTCTTTCAAAGCTCCCCAAAATAATTACAATTAAATTGACTTATTTTAGCTGGAGCTAAGTTTAAAATATCTTTTAGGTAAATGTCATAGCAAACAGTAAAGACGTTCCGGAAGGAAGCAAGGAACATGCCACTATAGTAGTGGAAATAATAAGAGATTTTTTACAGCATCTTGGTGAAAGAAATGTATTTAAACCGCTAGCTTTAGCAGTGGTTTCACGTAATGACGAAGAGAGTTATGTTGGCGCGTCGATTGCAGTGAGTAATTTTCTACGGCCTCTCCATCTGCATAAAAGAATTGCTGATTTCAAAAAGCCGAGTCTCAGAAAAGCAGTCATATTCAATAAGCCTTTAATAACAACAGATACACAAAACTGGAGTTCGAAAGCAAGAAAGCGCGATGGCACCTACAAACCTCCATGTACAAATTGCCGAAACACTTTCAAACATTTAAGGGGCTTCATACGTAATACAGAGCAGGGAGATGGCAACAGGGGAACATTCCTCGGGGCATGTGCCGAGTTCTGTCCTGTTGACAAACTTCTTCAAGATAAGACAAATGATGATCAAGAAATATATCGTCGTCTTCAGGTGAATTCGGAGCTAAGTTCACAACTATACAGGGAGTTTAATTCAATTGCAAGACAATGCCAACATGCTATTGAAAGTGTAAGAACGGCACACAAAGAAATACAAGAAACCGTTCACATTTTTGGTTTTAAGCCAGAATGTAAGTTTCCTAAGTAGGATCTGGCCTTAATACATAGCGCAGGTGAAAAAAAACATTGGACTAGGCCTTAGTTTTAAATGGTTCCTGGAACACTGTCTACTTCTCTGTGGAAGGTACGCTCTGAATATCTAGAACATCTGAATATCTGCGATATCTAGAACTCAGTCTGTCACCTCTTTACTAGGGTAGTAATGGGTGGAGAAGGATTTGAAAAGTTTGTAAAAGTTCGTTTTTGCTCAAATCCTCAAAGTTGGTATCAATCACCTGTTTCGCATTGATATCACACCGAGAAAATAAGGTTTTCGCTAAGTCTTTCAAGAAAAAGTCTGATGAATTCGCCTTTTTCTACTAATATTATCGAGCGCATGATAAAAGCAAAAATGCTAGCATCGACATCTGGAAAGTTTCAGTTATTTGACGGTTCATGATTCAAAGAGCAAAGAACTTTCTCTTTGCATTTCTGGACAGTTGAGACCATTGGGCCAGTCTGAATTGTAGTCGACGTTACGGGAAAATTCAGTGATTTTCCGTGTAGTTGTTTAAGCATATTTGTTCGTTGTTTTCGCTACTCTGGCCGTTCTAAATTCATGCGAGTTTCTTTCATTATGATGTTTTAAAAAAGATAAAAAGCCACAGTAGTTTTGGAATAATAAACTTAAGTTGTACAACTGCATCTCGGTAATTTTTTTGTTCATTACTAGTGAAATTTTAGGCAAATATAAGTGTTAGTGGTCTTTCTGGCAAAAATTGGTTCTCACGGTACTTGACAGCTCAGTTCATACTCGTAATTTCAATTTCCTTTCATACAGTCAAACTTAACACCAACCTTGCATAGATAAGCAGAAACTTTTAATTGCTTTTCAACCTTATTTTCTTTTGTAATTACGATATTTATATATTCAATATCAAAGCTGTTAGTTCTCACCTAAGCTTCCTATTTTTGGTGGCCTAGAGTTTATTGAATCAATAAACGACATATGAGTATTTAAATGGAAATAATTAACTTCAGAGAGACGTTTTCCGCTCTTTTGTACTCTTATTCAATTATAGTTAACAATAGAGGAACCTTACACACTAGTTCATACTCTAGCAAGTACTTGGTAAAGATTTTCTGATTACAGCTGGGATTACTAAGTTGAGCACCCGAGATGTCATTTCAGTTGTTGGTCTGACCTAGAATAAAAGTTACAATGAAACCACTGGAAATACTACCTTATCCTTGACGCCCGTAAAAGCTCGCTCGAAGTAGGTCGCCATGCACCAGGAAATCGTGACGAGTTTCCGTTCTCGCTGCCGAGTCGTCTGTACCAAGCTAGTTTGCCCCATTGTTGCTGTGCGTTCCGCGAGAGTTCAGTTTTTGCACGAAAACCTACTGTCACAATAATTATGAAATGTAACTTGACGTCCTTTTTGCCCCCTCCCCTTTAAAAATAATAAACACTAAGTTGCGTAATCGTGTAGACGAAATCATCTTTAAAGCACATCGGTTTGCTGTTTCCCGGCACTCCTCCCACCCCACCCCCCCGAACTTCTAAAGCTATCTTTATGATAAGTTTAGTTTCTGCACGATACAGCTGTTAAAAATTATTTAAAAAAACTGCAAATTATGCATCACAGTATCTTAAAACAATAGAGCACATTTTCCGAGCTGTAGAACGTGATTAAGCCACGCGGGATGTTTATTCCCAACACCCTGCCTGGATAGGAATGTTTAATCAAAAAGTCACTCCATCTGGCAAGCCCTTCTCAAAGGAAAACTTGGTAATTATTGCAATAACTTTGTCTTCTATGGCATACCCTTTTTTCAGAAACTTTGCAACATGCGTTTACATGCATATAATTATGAACTTAAGATTCTGAAAGTTAATTTTGCTAAATTCAGTTTTCCTTCATTTTAGTCGACAGGTGTACCTTTGATGAACGTAATCTGTTTACAAAATTGAACCGAAAACTGATAATGGTAGCTAAAACGAATTGTTTCTCTGATTTTTATTATAATTAAGAGGGGATATTGAAGCTTTTGTCTCATCTGCCCTAGGAAAAAAAGGCAACAGGTAAAATATTGATGCACGCGAAACTCTGATATGAATTTTTTGTCTATACCTCTATCAATTCTTAAAACCTATATCAATTTTTATTCGCTACTTGAGTATGAAATTGAAATTTAAGCAGTGAACGAGAAAGAAGTTTTTTAACGTTACACGCCTTAAATTATAACAGAGAGACTTCAGACAAGGAGATGGATCACACTTAGTAAACAAAAAGACTACACCACTCTTGGTACTATACTTGTATAGCCGTCTCATCAGGACCAAAATAATTCAGATATAGCACTGTTGCATGTTCTCTGTTAAAAACATAACAATGCTGGAAACATTTGATGAAAGAAACATTTAAGATATTTCCATTTACTTCATCAATGTCATCTCTTAAAATTTGAATTGAAAAGAAAACCTAGTATACCAATGTTTTTCCAGTAAAGACATCGTAAGCAACATCAGCTTTTGGGGGGCTGTCATTTAGAATGGTTAAAAACGGATTATCACCTTGTACGTCCATGACAGACGTGCTGTTTTAGAAGTTTCGAAAACAAGTTTTAAAAGAGTTTGTCAAAGTGTTTGTACTCGTTCCCTAGGTACTGATGATACATTATAAAATATTCATTGCTCGTAGCACTGAGTCAACCAATTACTTGCTAGGGCGAAAAAGTAACATAGCTTTGCTTTGCTTTCATGGTTCAATGGGGGTATTGTTTTCATGATCGCATGAAAAAAATTTATGATTAGTTTTGAGGCGATGACTGTCGCTGAAAGTGAAAAAAAATATTTGATAACAGGTATTTTTCTGGGACCTGCTAGTTTCCAAAGTTGATCAACTGTTCAAATTCAATGTGTCCAGCTTCAGATGCATTCCTAAAGCTATCAGTTTTTGATTTATGAAAGGTGGAATGGTTAATGGCTTCTTTGACTGATATTCTGGACATTTCGCAGTTTGTCATAGTTTTAAAAGCGTGGTATAGCTTATAATGGATTCCACTCAATAGCCCCTACAGACACTACTTGAATGGCGTGACATGTCTAGAAGAATAAATACCTCACTAGCACAATTATTGTATGTACGACGAACACGTACAGTCGCTAAGACCCTGTTACGGGTTATGGTCGGGTGAGATTACTAGTGTGCCAGATAAGATTGAAAAGAGAAAGCGAAGGCAGAAGCACTGTTATGACCGACGCACTCAGGAAATGCCAAAAGTGAACGCCCACCAGACACTTCCTTTAACTGACAGAGTCTGGTGAGATGAATAACCCAACCCTAACTAATTCTCCACCATTGACGGTCGCACCCTCGACAAACCAGTAGTGATCCCATGCGCGATTGCTGTCCGCCTTTGTAATCACAATATGCTGAATAGTGACTTTTGAAAAAGACTTAGCTTTTTATTTACATGTACTGTAGCAGCTTGCTATATATATTGGTTTCCTTTAGAAACCGGACAACTACAAATGAACTATTTAACCAATGGACACTTGCTTTCTTGAATTACTCTCAGTTATCAATGAGATTAGAATGATTGTAAAGCAAACCTAAATAATCTGAGGCATTTTCAGGCTCTTCTAAGAACGGAGGAATCCCTTCCACTGTCGTTAAACTCTCCCTAACTATGAGAATACTTGGAAGCAGCTCTTGGGACATGACAGCCTATGAATTACACAGAGAATTAACTCCGAGTAGCAATTAAATGCTTTTTGAACTCGTCCGACTCCAGAAACTCATCTTTATTTACCACTCTGGTCAATCCATCGAGCACTTTTATAGCAGATGAAGTCTTCATTTTAAGTTACTACTAGTAGTTATATTATATATATATAAATATTATGAGAGGGAAAAAGGACGTAACTACATTTCCCGACAAGCCTGTTTCGTGAATCGCTTCACTCTTCAGGGGTTTAATGAAAGAATATTCATGTGACTATCGTTTATATACTAGGAAAATTTGCATAATGCGCGGTAAACTTAAAAACTTTAAAGTTCAGTTGTTGCGTAGCAACGCTTTGTTTCTGTGTCGGCATGAAGATACGAGTTCGTTACGCTTATTTAGTGATGAGAGGTCGGGTCGGTAAATTATCAGGAATTTTTCTTTTAGGCAGAGGTTGCATCTTTTATTGGAGCTGTTGTAGGGAGAGTTAGATGATAAGATGCGCCATGAGATAGAATAGTCAATGTTGTCGTTCTTGAGTGTCCAGATGTGTTTGCTAAGTTCGGTAGAGTTTTTGTGCTTGGCGTGGCGGAATGATGCGGTGTGATTTCTGTGTCTTGTTTTGAAGTCGGTTTCTGTGAGTCCGATGTATGTTTCAGAGGTGTTGTTGTCGTTCCGTGTGACGGTGGCTTGATAAACGACTGAGGATTGAAGGCAGTTACCATTGAGCGGGCAATTGTTCTTTTGTCGGCAGTTGCATGTTTTGTTGGTTTCCGTGCCGTCTTTGTTGTCTTTCGTGTAAGGTGAGTGGGACGAGTGTAAGATGCGCTTGTTGTGGTTGTCGATGACCTGTTTGGTGTTGTTCATACAGCTGTAACTGATTTTGATGGTGTTGCGGTTAAATATTTTGCGGAGGCTGTG